TGTAAATAGGGACGCGTCCCGTAACGTAGTTTACAAATAGTGTTGCCAGGTGTCCCGATTTTCAGGAGTCTGTCCTGAAAATCGGGACACCTGGCAACACTATTTGTAAACTACGTTTCAGTTGAAGAATGAAACAAGGCAGTGAAATTACAGAACATGGTGGCATGGTAACTTAGTTCTTCAAAATGGTAATGTAAGAGTTGTATCTATAACTTGTGTCACATATTATCCGTAGTACTTCATAGATACTATCTGTTATCACACATCAACTGTTAGGTAATCACTAAATTTATAAGCGTTGATTTATATTAAATATTATTACGAACATATAGAAAACAAACATATTAAATAATGACTATAAATTTGTCTTAAAAGATTAATTGTGTCATGCAGGAATTTAATCAAGAAGAACAATAAAGACCAGAAGGCCCATAAACTTAGGAGCTATGTAACTCCAAGCTATACCTTCATATATTATCCTACAAAACCTATAAAGCAGTATTATGGATAAAACATCGTTCGTATCAAATAATGATTGTCGTGAGGCGGGAAGCGTATCTCAACCCCCTACTGGAGTACCGTTAGACAAAACAATTCAATTCACACAACTCCGGGTGTGTTTATGTATGTTACTGCCATATGTTTTCATTATTAGAAGATGCTAGATGGAATATAACAACTTTAGTTATCATGTTTGTATATTTTTTAAATAAGTATTATTATTCAAAAGTACTTATATACAAGTTTATTTGCATAAATAATTTTCAATGCTATTTGTTATTATAATTGTAACAGTTTATGTACCACAAATAGAATATTATTTAAAAGCAAGGTAGTAACGTGTTATTGACATAATAATATATTTATGTTTATCTTACCGTGTAAGGACAAATACTGCGTGAAAACCTTTGGTTGATCTTTCTTGCTCAACAATACGTACCAGGAGTATCCAGGAGATAACTTCACTTTTAGACTCAGGTCCGATCTCACTATTATTAATGTTATCTTTCTATTTTATTCTGATTGTAAATAAAGTTAATGTATTTATTTTGAAAATTGCTTGGCGACTGAATTATACTGCTATATTCTTATTACTGTAAATTCCTCGAGGACTACTCTTGACTTTCTGAGACAGGCAAAATAACTCAGTATAATTCTATGAATAGATTATTCGATTTAAATAAAATAAATACAGGCTTCAAATATAATGTAAACTTAAATTGATTTCTATGGTAATCAAAACCACACATGAAAGTAGACAAAGTCTCAAACTTATAATAGTCTTAACGTAATATGAAATCAATGTAATTTAGGAAAATAACCATTCACGAGACGTCTGGAAAACATGTAAATATATTTGAATAAATTTAAATAAATATTAGAAATAAACATATTTTCCAATATATGACCCGTAAGTAACGACTAATAGATGATATGGCCTGAAATTTATTTTGCTTGTGAGTTTCGGGGCAACCGCCTTGTACGTACAAGCTATTAACTGTCTTTTATTGGAGAGATGCCAAATGCAATTGTCGAGTCATGACCTTTCCAAATACTTCGAGGGAGTTTGGGACGGAAATGGCCGTTGACACGTTACGAGTTTTTGTATTGTATCTCACATACTAATTACAACTACCATGTGTACACGTTTGGCGAAAATGTTAAGAGCCCGAACATGAGTTCTAATTTGACCTTTACTGAATTCATGTGTAAAGTTCTGTATCTTATATTACATTGTTAAGATAGACTGTTAAGGTTTAGTGCTAATTCTTAACTGACATCAAAAAGGAGGAACTTTTCAAGTCGAGCATATATTAATCATATGTCAATAATAATTGATACTAATAATATAATTTATTGTGAAGTTTTGCCACATCAAAATGTTAGGAGTTATATTTATTTTGTGTATAATTATGTTGTATTTATTGAAATAATAATTATGATGACGCGATATCTGTAATGCCATTAATATCACACAGGTGTTGGTTGCCAATTAAGGTGGGCCGTCTATTTGTTTATAACTCCAGCTATTATACACAGAAGTATGAAAACACAAGAAGTCAAAATAAATTTAATTATTTTTAGACCGTTGTATACCTAACTGCTTCATTCTATACGTAAAAACACTTCTTCGTATTTAATTTTATTTTTTTTGCTTATTTGGTAGTACGAGTAGTCGTTGAAAGGGGAAGATATAAAAAAACAATGCTTTATATTCTGAGCCATTTTCTTGATTAGACGAGTTTAGAGGTTCATTCGAAGGAAAACTGATAGAGGAAACGTTTTTTTGAGCCTGCCAATTCGAGCAGCTGTTACTTTTTATTCCATTTCCATTACATTCGTTGTCCAATTGTACTTTACAATTTGTATTAATATTTGTATCTTTTAAAAACACGAAGATTCTTTGAACATAATTAATTTCTATTTTGAAGTGGAATGTGAAACAAGACACAATAATCATTTAAAGTATTACAGAATTTAATTTAAACAAATTTAATTATTTTATATACAAATTATTTTGGACAAACATTGAGAGTTTGTCTGCTTTTTTTAGATAATACTTAGCCTATCCGTCTTCGTGATACATTCGTCATACATCTATATTCGGGTCAAATTTTATTAAGATCTACTGAGTCGTAAAAGGTAACAAACATACAGATCAACATAGATAACTTATAATATTATTATTGAGATAAGGATTATAGGATTTGCAATATTTTATATGGAAGGAAAAATTTACTGATGTAAAGACAGTTTTTATGTATTTAATTAAAATTTCTTTACAAAATAAATTATTATCAATCACTTTATGCATGCCACAAGGTGATTTTTTTTTCTTAGGTTATGTCATACTGAGGGATATGCATGTGAATTCGATTCCCATTTATTGATTTATTGTCATGCATTTTTTATTAGTCAACGTTTGAGATATTAAGAAATACTTACATATCTTAGCGTTAAATATGCATATTATTTCATTTATTTTATATGTAAGAGTTAAATTAATAATAATAATACCGTGTGTATAAAATTTTAATTAAAATATAAATGTAACAAAAGAAATTGGGCTCGTCCGGGATTTGAACCCGGGACCTCTCGCACCCTAAGCGAAAATCATACCCCTAGACCAACGAGCCACTACATAGTACTTTAAAATAATGATATTTATATTACTTACACGTATCTTAGAGGTAATAAATTAATATTAGTAGGACAAGATATAGGCTTATTTGTTACAGACAAAGTATTATCTCTTCACCTGTAATATAGATAATCCCATATAGATAAAATATATTTGTTGGCTATAGACAAATACTGGCATCACATTAAATACTTATACTGCTCCTAGTACCAGCAGTGTTAAATCTTGATCTGACAGGATTCGAACCCATCACTTTTGATTCAATTAGATTCCCACTTCAATTCAAGTTTCTTTTTATACATATTTTTAGTTGCCGATGTGGTGGTCTATTGTTCTAAATATTGGTTTGTATTTTACTAAGTAATGGAAATTCAGAATGTTTCGGTTCAATATGTATATTAGAACCGTATACAGATATGTGTGTGTTATACAGCGCAATGTAGTCCTAAACCAAAACAGCTATGGATATTATCCAATTTATGGATTCATTTCACTTATGAATACAAATGTATAAATTAGGCTCGAAACCACTGTCAAGTGTATGACATAATATACTGTAATATAAATGAAAATAAGAATTTACTCTATACTGAACTATTTTCTACTTTATATTTAATTTAACTAAGGCCTTATGACTCATATAATCTACTAGTCCATTTAACAAAACAATAAACTGACCTTCTGTGTTATTTTATAGATAATTCATACCACCGTATACCCTTGCAGTAAAGCGTCTCGTTTACCGCACCCGTAACTGGCTTGGTGAAATAAAGCGTAAAATCTTAGTACAATATTAACCCAAAAGACTGAACTGGGACGTACATATCGTATAGGTAGAGCACCAACGTTGAATGGTAGTAATATCTACCCAACCAATTGTTGTCAAAAGTATAATACTGCTGCCACCGGAATTCTTAAAGAAGAGTTCATCAAAGTAACTATTTATATATAATTTATTACAGATATAGATACAATAATGTATTTATGCATAATAAATAAAGTTACTGTTCTGCGAATAATTACAATGTAATGAAGTGTTCAAAACATATCTTATTAAAAGTTTCTTGATACTGAAGTTACACGAAAAGTAAAATTCTATTTCTACTTGCTTGCCTGTTAAAATTCACAGATATCATTGCGCATGATAGCGCAACTCTACGTATTCAAAATATAATATATGACAGAAAAGTTAGTATAGTTAACGATGGTGTAGGTATGTTTTCTTACACTAATATTAGGGTAGATACCTATCTAAATATTTTGTTGGTATAACCTCGCCCCAAGCACCTCGTTTAACGGGCACACTATAACTAGGTTGGTGGAATAAGCGTAAAATCTTAGTAGGATATTGACCCAAAAGACTGAACTTGAGGAATGGCCGAATGATGGAAGAAGCGCCGAAATACGAATTAGTCAGTTTTGTGTTACCAAGTCTTCCTAGACTTGATGGATAATTTGTTGTCCGTATCAACAAATTATTGATAAATTTATACACTAATTTGTCGCTAACACTGCGTAAATTGAGTGTCAAACAATCCTTAAATTTTACTATGCTATGTATTTATTTATTAACCATATACTTATAGACGTGTCTTTTAAAAATAATGTATATTATGGATATGATAATTTAATATATTGCCTAATTAAAATATAATTTTCAATTAAAGTATTAACAGTTCGAATACATAATTTATTTAAATAGTGAATTCTATGAGAGGCAAATTCAAGTTATATACAGCCATCTGTTACCGTTCGTTAGTTATATATAGTGGTGTTTAAAATGCGCAAATGAAAAATGGAAAGTGGAAAGTGGACTGTATATTTGATTTTTAGGATGAAAGGAGGCAAGGTACCTGGATTACTCGATGTCTTCCCGGAGGCCGGCCGTCCTTTCGTTCTTGTACGATGCTGCACCAGCACACTATGACACTTCACAACACACAAATATTGTCTATATGCAAAAATATACAAAATCAGTTTATATATTGTCCAAAATACTAATTTTAATGCGGATGAAAAAACTATGATAGCCACCGTTCAACGATCTCCGAATGACTACGTGCGCGACAGCCCGAGTCTCGCCGATCGGGCTCGAGCGAAACATCTCTGTCCTTTTCAGATTCCTTGCCAAGGAAAGAGATAGATGTGGAGAGGACGTTAGGAAAGGAAAATAGGTATACAGGCGCAAACATCCCCCCCCACTTGAAGGATCCCTTCAAAAAAAAAAGCAAATGCAAAACAAACTAACTAAAATGTAGGATACTAACCAAACTAATAATATATTTAACAAGAGAACGGAGCTTAACTATATTTACTATTTACTGATTAGGAAGTGGGCACAGACGAACTACTGGTCGTAGATACGAGCCAGATGAAGTTCGGACTCTAGCTATTCTAATAATGTCATCTTTCGCGGGAAAAATTTCTTCAATGATACCCAAAGGCCAATGAAGAGGAGGTGCGTTATCTATAATAATTATTACAACATTGCCCACTGCTATGGGATTCGACGGAGTATTCCATTTCTGACGCGTTGTCAATGTATGCAAATATGAACGTCTCCACCGAGACCAAAATGACTGTACTAATTTGGTAAGTAATGAATGACGTTGATTAAGATCAATTTCATTACCACCAAGAGTTGGTGCAGGCAAATATTTCAATGGTGTTGATGTCAAGAAATGGGCCGGCGTTAAAAGCAAGCGGTTCGGATGGATCCGATGTTAACGTGCGACACAATGGTCGACTATTCATTACTGCTTCCACTTGCGTGAGAACAGTGCTAAGCTCCTCAAAAGTGAGAATCTGATCTCCTACTACTTTATATAGGTGACTCTTCAGACTCTTGATATTAGATTCCCAGTTCCCACCGAAATGTGGGCCGCTGGGGGATTAAGATGCCATTCAATGCGATTTTCAGCTAAGACGTGCGAAAATTCTGAATTAAAATATTTTGAAACTAAAAGTTTATGCAATTCATCTAAATATCCTCTAGCTCCTATAAAGTTCGTCCCGTTGTCCGAATACAAATGCGTTACTGGTCCGCGACGAGATAAGAAACGCTTAAACGCCAATAGAAAACAAGCTGCGCTTAAGTCAGAAGCCAACTCAATGTGAATAGCCCTAGTGGTTAGACACACAAATAAACAAATATACGCTTTACGCGCACGTATGCCACGGCCACGGTGCGGTGTTACCTTTATTGGACCAGCAAAATCTGTACCGGTATGAATAAATGCTTTAACGGATGGCGTTACACGACAAGCGGGATGATTTGACATTTCGGGAAAACTTGTTTAGGGCGCAATCTAAAGCAACGGTTACACTTATGTATTCGACTACGAATAATGATACGGGCCGAAAATATCCAATAATTGTCTCTAAGAATTGACATCAACAAATCAGGGCCAGCGTGGCAGTGAATTTTGTGAAAGTAATCGATTAATAAATTCATTACATGACCGTTACGCGGTAGTACTATAGGGTGTTGTTTTTGATAACTCAAATCAGAGTTCTGAAGACGTCCACCAACAAGTACAATACCATTTTCTAAAAATGGTTTCAGTCTACGAAATGCGATACTACAATGTTTACCAGATTGCATAGCTTTAATTTCATGCGAAAAGTGAAACTTCTGCAATTGCCTAATTAATTTATACTCCGCGAAGCGTAAATCAAATGCGGTAATGTATTTGCGATGCGGGAGCAGTCTAACAAAACGACAAATATAAACAATACATCTTAACAATTTACACCACGACGAGAACTGATCTGCTAATTTTAACAAAATTAAACTAGGTTCGATTTCAGAAACTAATAATGCTTGCGTTTTTTCCTCGGGAGGATTCGATATACTAGTGGGATTGAACTCCGCTATCTTCCACTCGCTAGGGCTCGACGATAACCAGGGTGGACCATGGAACCACAACGGATGATCGATAATTTGTGCGGGTGTCAATCCGCGCGATAGACAGTCAGCAGGATTGTCTATACCCGAAACATGACGGAAACTATCTGGTGCTAAATAAGACTGCAACTGAGATACGCGATTGCCAACAAAAGTATCCCATCTATGGGGCGACGAATAAATCCAACAAAGTGTCACAGTTGAGTCAGAAAATGCGATAACATTGCTAATAGTGAGACGCTTACTACAAGTGTCACACACAATTCTAATGAGTTTTGCGAGTACTAATGCGGCGCACAGCTCTAGCCGTGCCAAAGATACCGTTTTGGTAGGCGAAACCCTAGATTTTGAACACATCAAGTGAACGCTATTAATTCCATTATTACTAACATGCAAATAAACTACTGCTCCGTATGCCTTTTCGCTGGCATCAGCAAAACCTACTACAGTAACGACGCTATCTCTCGTTATATCAACATGACGCGGAAAACTAATTTTATTTAATAAATGCAATTCACTACGGTACTGGCTCCATAGTTTTACTATCGATGCAGGCGGCGCGTCATCCCAATCACACTTCAATAACCATAATTGTTTCACAAGTAACTTTGCGTATAAAACCACAGGTCCCAAAAAACCCATTAGATCCCATAACCTAGCTACGCATGACAATATAGCGCGCTTAGTGCACTGCTCATTAGGCGGGTTTATTTGAATGCGAAATAAATCTGTGCGGGGCGACCAAGATAAACCTAAAACTTTATGGGTGTCAGTTTCATCAAACTCCTTAAGCGCCGCGAGTCTATGAGAAATAGGAATTGAGTTAAGAACTATTTGCGAATTACTTGTCCACTTAACTAAATCGAAACCAGCTGTTTTAAAAAATGCGATCATCTCAGTGGACAATTTTACCCCTTCTTCCTCTGAGTCGACTGAATGGACTACGTCGTCCATGTATAACCCTAATTCTAAAACATCCCTAGCATGCGGGAAGGAGTCTCCAACATCCTCAGCGAGCTGTTTAATTGTACGCAATGCGTGAAACGGACTAGATTTAACACCAAAGCAAACACGATTAAATTGATAGGTAACAATGGGATCGGTGGGTGAAAAACGATACAATAGTCGTTGAAATTTACGGTCCTCTTCACGAACCTCTATGCACAAAAACATTTGTCGCACGTCTGCGGACAGTGCGACCGCGAATAACCGAAAATTAATTATTATATCAAAAAGATTACCCTGTAAATTTTCGCCACAAAACAAAATATCATTTAATGAAATGGAACTAGTAGTTTTCGCGCTAGCGTCTAAAACAATTCTTAATTTAGTGGTCGTCTTATCCTCACGAACCACTCCATGATGCGGTATAACGTATGAAAGCGATTTATCTTCACACGCCGACGTAGGTGCGGGTGAGATGTACCTTATCTATATAATCGAGAATGACATCGTCATAAGCTAATTTAAATGCGGGTGAAGCAATTAATTTTCGTTCCAAACATAAAAATCGTTTTTTAGCCAACTGATAAGAATCGCCCAGTGTGGACGGATCCTTACAAAATGGTAAAGCCACAATATACCTACCACTGATCGGGTCGCGTTTTGTAGTACTACTATAATATTTTTCGCACGCGTTATCTTCTGGACTTTTAATAGGAGGTACGTATATCTCCTCTAAATCCCAAAATCTTTTAATTAAATTGTCCAGAGAATTCGATACTATAGCACAACACGTCGTTACAGTGTTGTTACAAAAAGTAGCAGGCGCGGGTCCTACAACAATATATCCCAACGTGGTTTCCCAAGCATAGGGAGAACCTAACTGACCTTCAATTTTATTTGTAAGCAATAAATGATGAAACAATGATGCGCCCAATAACATGTCGATGTCACCTGGACAGCTATACGTGTCATCAGCCAATGGTAACACGTCAAAATCAGACAACTTGCACCTATCTACAGTCATATTAGGCAAACGTTCCGTAATCCTATCCACTACCAATGCATCTAACTCGTACGAAATATTCCAATTAAATCGGGAGTGTATTTTAATATTTACTAATGTGTCGACAGCCTTATTCGTACCGCCGATACCTTTTACTAATAAATTTGTCTTGCGTCGGTTACATAAACCCAATTTTTCACATGTACTATTAGTAATAAAATTACTTTGCGAAGCGTTATCTAATAAACAGCGAACCAAACATTCCCTACCATAAACATCGTAAACAATAACTCGTGCGGTCGCCAACAAAATAGTATTGTGAGTGGTTTTGTTAACTAGTTGTGTACTGCATAACGCAATGTCCGCGGCCGTCGCGTTACTAGTATTCGCTATCTGTGAGTTATAATGTGATGCGCGCGGTGCATCAGTGAGACGCGGCGGCGCGTACGGCGAGAGAGGCGCGGGCGGCGCGGGCGGCGCGGCAGGGGCGAGCGGCGCGAGTGGCGCGGCGGCGGGTGCGGCGGGCGACCGGTCGCGGCCGTTTTGTGCATACGGCCTGCCGGTGTTACTAACGAAATGCAACATCGAATGATGTTTTCTATTACACACCTTACAATTAATACCAGAATTACAATTTGCTATTTTATGTTTACTACTCAAACAATTTAGACAGTAACTATGACCTCTAACAAATAAATATCGATCGTATGGGGACATATTACAAAAAGCGGCACATTTATACAAATTATCATGTGGCACTGACGAATTGCATAAAGAACAAAACTGTTTGACCATATTATTATTGTTTACATTCGCCCGTGTACACTGTGTTGTACTAGAATACGTGTGTGTCTGTTTAGTTATTCTGGGAACGACACGCTCGGACTTATTTTGATGTAATTTTACAAAGGAGTTCTGTGCAATATTTTAATTTGTTCACGTAAAAATGTAACTAAGCTATCGAAACTGGGTATCACAGAACCGCGGTATTCCATATCGAACAAACGAACTATATCTGGGTCTAAACGTTTTAATGCGAGGTATAAAAATACAAATTCTGCTAAATTATCCAATTTTAGGTTTTTTAAGGCCGCAACAGATGATGCGAACTTATCAACGAATGATTCTAGACTTTCAGCGGTTGTACTAGACATAGGTTTTAAGTTAAAAATATTATCCAAATAAGTTGTTGCTTGAAACCGCAGATCTTCATATCTATTAACCAATGTCTCGTAAATAATACTATAATTGGATGCGCACGGAGTTAAGCCTGCGCATACAGACCTAGCCTGCCCCGTGAGTTTACCTAACAGATAATGCAATTTTTCCAAATCAGTAAGTGAGTCGTTATTATGTACTGCTGACAAGAAAGTAGAATGAAATAAATTCCAAACTGTCACATCTCCTGAAAATTCAGGAATTTGGAGGGCTGGTAATTTTGGTCTAGAACTCTTAATCGGCTCAGATGCTGATATATTAGGTTTAGAATCGTGTGACAGATTCAACTTTGTAATCTGTCTTTTTATATAACAATACAAATCTTCAAATGCCAGCCAAGCCTGATGGCTGGGCTGATGATTAGGTTTCAACCTTGTTTCTATAGCGTTTATAGATTCCAACGTACTTAAATAGTCGTTCCGTATAGAATCCAACGATTCAACTTTTGATAAAAACAATTCAATAGAAACATCGTCAACTAAATTTTTTGCAGAATTATAAATACTTTGAACCCGCTCGAAATAAGCTGACCTTCTTGAGATCAAATTGTTTAATTTAATTTCTAAGTCGGATAACGACATTTTGCTATAATTACTATATACCTACTATTAAAATTAACAAATGCGTAACAAAATTCGAGATTGTTCTATTGTAATACAAGTAGTAGTTTTATAACTACCTACAACTAATACGCGATAATTGAACTATTCATAAATGCATACGTAACAAACTGATGCGAAATGGAATAACTCGAAGTGATTTTATGATGGCTATAACGCGGTATGCGTGAAGTACCTACCTATTATGCTTATTTGAATTATACTACTAATTGCGGGGTGCAGCAGAAAGAACCAAATGGCTATATAATATCCGGCCGAAGTGGCCAAAAAATGGTGTTTAAAATGCGCAAATGAAAAATGGAAAGTGGAAAGTGGACTGTATATTTGATTTTTAGGATGAAAGGAGGCAAGGTACCTGGATTACTCGATGTCTTCCCGGAGGCCGGCCGTCCTTTCGTTCTTGTACGATGCTGCACCAGCACACTATGACACTTCACAACACACAAATATTGTCTATATGCAAAAATATACAAAATCAGTTTATATATTGTCCAAAATACTAATTTTAATGCGGATGAAAAAACTATGATAGCCACCGTTCAACGATCTCCGAATGACTACGTGCGCGACAGCCCGAGTCTCGCCGATCGGGCTCGAGCGAAACATCTCTGTCCTTTTCAGATTCCTTGCCAAGGAAAGAGATAGATGTGGAGAGGACGTTAGGAAAGGAAAATAGGTATACAGGCGCAAACATATAGCAAAGATTAATTGAAAGTAAGGACTGGCCGGCCAACAGTAATACGTGTGGTCGCTTCCTTCATAACCTAACATTTCGAGACTCCAGATGTAGGATTAAATAGGATAATAAAACACCCGACGGTCAGACGACATCCTGGAATAATATGGTGATCCTTATTGGAAAAGGTCCAAATGGTAATAAAGTTGTCCATCGTTAGATAGAAGTCAGTATCAAACATGTATGCGGAGAAATGAAACTAGTTACTTCAATGCAGCTTGATTTTATGATTATTCTGCTTAGCTCTATGTTTTATGATTACCTCCATGTTGGAGATAATATCACTGCTCTTTTTAGTATTGTAAAAAACTTTTTTAGAAACAGAACAAAATCCATCCACCTAAAAAGAAGGGATACTTGATACAAAAGCCTCAACCAAGTCTGTTAGCTAACTGTGGTATCAGGTTACTATTACTATAATTAACTAAGTGGATCTCCTCATAAGTTAGCTACTATTTATGAGAAAAAGTTATGGTATAATATGGATATTTCGATTTTAAGATATTTTTGTCTATTAAAATTCCTTAATTATTAGTAAAATTTTATATTATAGAAAAGTTCATCTATTATTCCTCTATAAAATCTGTAAAATCCTCGTATGATATTCAAAGTTTTACTTATTGAAAATTTTTAACACTTTTTGTACTTACAATAAGTTATAAATAAGTTTATAATACCCGTAGACTCAGGTGCAAGCTTAAACGAGCGCTGTGATACGATAGTTACCGCGTACAAAATAGCTCAGTAAATAAATAAACCTGTTGTTGAACTAGTTTAACTAGGCTGCAAGTTATTACGGTTTTAAAAATGTAATTGGAAGAAAAAATTATATTGATATCATATTATAGTAGGTGATTTTCTGTACAAAATTATTACGTGTTACAACATGTATGAGATACATGGTATTTTATTTACCACAAACGTTTACATTTATTTATATATATCATACTAAGCGAGCTTTACATTACTTATGTATGAGTATTACGTACGTACCTATTAGTATTACTTATTACATACGAGTATATTAGAAGAAAAAGAATTTGAAGTTAACATACGATCTAAATAATGTATTGCTATCCTACGAAATGCCAGAAAACAGGTAAATATGTATAGGTATAGAAATCAACTAACTATCATTTAAAAATGAAAATAAAAAATGTTTAATTCTTTCAAAAGACCGTTAGATCGTTGAGTACACACAATATAAAAGAAACATGATGCTGCTTGGGCAGCTCTGTTAATCTCCGTGGAACATCAAATCAGTGTGCGTGTGCTTATATATGACAGATGGCCGTTGGGGCAGTAAAGTCCTCGAGTGGCGACCACGGACCGGAAGACGCAGCGTGGGAAGGCAAGGTGGATCAACGATCTGGTCAAGATCGCTGGAAGGCATTGGATGCGAGCAGCGCAGGACCGATCGTCGTGGAGATCTTTGGGGGAGGCCTATGTCCAGCAGTGGACGTCTTCCGGGCTACGATGATGATGATGATGATGATGTGCTTATACGTAACAATTGGGCGTTCGTGTGGATATTAATGATAATAACTTTTACATTTCCCCCCTCTTATTACGTTTAATATGTGTTACTTGAAGTCTTGCTTATTTTCATATTAATTTATAATTATTTTGCCATCTGCGTGTAATTTAGTGATAAATAAGTTTAAGTGAAGGAATCATTTGTGGAACAATCTAGTGACTTAAATTTAATAAAATTAAACACCTTAAATATGCAAAGATTTAAGCAAGCTGTATTTCAAGTATATATTTTCTCATTCTACACTAGTTTAAACATGGATCACGTATGCCTTTTTTACAGAGACAGCACAACAAAGTACGTGGGCTCCATTCATAAGATTTGCGAAATTCGCCTACATCTGCATCCGGGTCATGAAAGCGCCTGGCCGTTAGATTTCCCAAAGGACTTACGATACTAAGCGTCAATATGACATTCGCCAACAAATTATATTGAGCAACTAGTTTATCAGCTGAAGAATAAAATGTTATAGACTACAAATTGCAGAAGAAATCTGTGATAGTCTATTTATCTAGCTGAGAGTGATTTTGGAAATGCCCAGAATCCAGTAGAAAACTGTGTAATAACAGAATTCGGAAGGAGAAAGGAGAAGGGGGAATTGATTGAGCGAATTAAATTAATTGTTATGTTTAATACAAATATACGAGGATTAGGAAAGAAAGTCAGAATAATAGAGTATTGTATATTATATATTATAAATTACTATCATATAATATTTCCCTTTTTTTATGTAACTGAAACTTACATGCTGACGATTGATAGAAAGTGTGCATGCGTTTTCACTTCTAAGGACTATATCGTGCCTCCGTACTTATTTTAACTGCAATATATCAGATAACATCTCATATAATGCTGTATGCCATATCTTAACTTTTAAACTTGAATATAGCTTGCAAAGCTGCTTGAGGTCATAAAAAGGTGAGACAAAGGTAGAGGCATTCAAGTACTTCATGCAGTTTCCCGATAGAAGACCGTCTCATGTTTGATTTTTAAAATATGGTATATTTGCTGTACATACAAAACAATCACAACGACTGATCACCACAGTTGTTGTGATTATATTTTATTTATTTTTAAATTAGCTAGATTTTATAGACTAGGATAGTTCTATATCCTTCAATATACCAATCATAATAATAACTTTTTATTACATTACTAGTAGTGTTAGATATTTTGCCTATATATTATATTATAATGAATATTATAGTGTATAGGTTATAATACTATTTCATGTGAAGGATTTTACAATACTACTTTACCTGTAGACGGGAATATGGGGCGTCTTTAACTTATTGTAGAGATGTTGCTTCCCTCTACGCAGTTATTATATTGCTTGTATTGAACAAGTATTCTGAGAAATTGTTTGATATCATGTTTCCCGTTACATACTTTCATTTTGCTACAATTTCCCATAAATAGGGAAATATTATAGAAACATTGAGAAAACATTTCTATTTTCTCAATATTTCAATAAACT